TTTCTCACCACAAACACACCAAACACACGGTTTTGCAGGCCCAGACCACTGGCACAACATGGTCGCGCAATTCTACGACGTCCCACACGTCTCTGTCAAATCTGCCCTCTTCCCCGACTACATGCGCGACCCCAAGTCTATCCAGAAATACTTTGTTGATCCCGTCCTCGCTAGCCCTTCCGGGCATGAACTTATCTCGGAGATACTCGTGGCGTACTTCCAGAGGCAGATATGTACGGCGTGGAGCGTGGCTACTGGGTCGTCTTACGAAGCCGTCTCAGTGCACACTGCAGGGTCTGAAGGAGGTGCAGGCGACGCCCATGGGCTATTTGGCGGCATTGGTCAACGCCCTGGAGTCCCCGAGCCAGAAAAGGGTGATGTAGCAGTCGACGCAGCAGTGGAAAAGAAGATGGCAGCTATGAAAGACCGGGGGGATTCGTCGTTGTCCTCGTCCTCTTCCCCTCAGCTCCTCACCGTCCCCTCTGGCCGAATCAACACCCGACCAAACGGGAACCGTCCCTTCGAAGAGATCGCACCGTTCTGCGTTTCCGCAAACGACCTCATCAACCCCCTACCACCGTCGTTGTTCTACGGCTCGGGGTGGTATGCTCACCATCCGAGCGGGAGCGGGGGCGATGCCCTGATTACGGCTGCGCATTATTGGCATTCTGCGCTTCCGACGAGTAAGCTTAGGATTCCGGTACAGGTTGGAGGGGGAGATATTGGGGTGTACTATTTGAGGGAGCCGGTGGGTGTTGTTGGGGAGGGGAGTTCGGTTGAGTGTTGGGTTGATGATAATTATGCGGGTGCGAAGGTTATTGAGAATGCGGCGGATATTGGGGATGCTATACCTACGTATGTCCTTTTTCCTTTCTTTTTTTCTTCCTCTTTTTATTTTTTGTACCCCGCTGATGGCTGGTTGGTGTAGGCTGAAGATGATCGACCATTATGTTGGACGAGGTTCTCATTTCGTGGAATGTCAGTTGTTGGGTGAAGAAGGACAGAGTGTGCCGATGTTCAAGATTATCGGGATTTTTGCGACGTGAACCCTTTGTTACTTACTGATAGGGAAGGACTGAGTAGTGTACGGACGTTCCCTGGCTTTTAGGATGTAGAATATGATTTTGTGTAGTGTGTGTATTCGAAATGCACACAGGAATTGGAGAGATGACTAATTTCAAATTTCGACTTGTACGACGACGACCACAACTACAATCCAGTTAAAACGCCCCATTGCTACGCCTTCAAGATTATGGAGTTATGCGAACTGGAGAACTTCCAGACAATTTTCTATCTCGAATATCGG